AAGAAGGTTTAACAGGGATGTTTGCTGATAGGACCCCTCGATATTTAGTTGAGACCATAAGGTGAACTAGCAACTCAGTGAAAGCGATTCGCTTCCAACTCAGTGAAAGAGAGAGCAAGAGAGGGCAGGAGAATATAGTCCTTGGCTACGTGGAGGAAGAGTTGAGCTTTGCATACGTGCCATCCTTCCAACGAGACTTGGGTTGAGGTGAAAGTCAGCTTGCCGCCCACCATCACTCCCTAACTACTCATATCGATTTACATTTCTTTGCAGTGCTTTCCACTGCGTGGCAGGATATTACGTATTTCTTTGTTGTCACGCTAGGATATAAACTAGAATATAAGCTCCATGAGAACACGGACAGCCTCCTTCTGTCCTTCACCTCATCCCTGATACAGTATTGCTTGGCATGTGGCAGGGTTCAAAAACTTTGTCGAATGAGTGGGATTAAGGAATGAGAGTTGGACAATGCCCAGTTAAATGGCCTGTTATGCTATAATGCTGTATAAAGATACCACTTATACTTGGAAGGTCTCCACGGTAGTGGTAACATCATAATATAAGAACTGAAGCACTAACTAACTTTGCCTGAGTAAATAGGCATCAGCTTCCGCTTTGGGGTGGCTGTGGGATCACTTACAGTCAGAGTTAGGGTGTGATCAGAATCAAATAAATTATAGTAATGGAACAAGGTAATGTGATATAGTGCAACATTACCATGTGTAATACAATTTTGGGTCCTTTTCGGCACATGAACTGTCGTTTCCAAAGTTTCAGACCAAGTCGAAATCCTTACAGGGGCTTATAAAGCTACACATCAGGGTCTTCAGCCTGAGCACGGTTAGCATTTGTGCCAGAAAATTCCTTGTTCTAGGGCCTGCCCTGCGCATTGTAGGGTATTCAGCAGCATCCCTCATCTCTATTCACTAGATGCCTGTAGCAAGCCCCCACTCGTGACAACTGAAAATGTCTCCAGACATTGCCGAGTGTCCGCTGGGGACATTGGTCCTCCGCTGAGGACCTCTGCCCTGCCCGATCTGACCCCTGTTGACGTCCCACTGCTCTTCCTGTCATTTGCTCTACTTCGGCCACACTAGCCTTCCGGCTGGTTCTCGGCCGGGCCGGGCTCCACCTTGGTTCCTTTTCAGTGTCTGTTCCCTTTACCTAGGAACCTTTCCTCAGATTCCTCCACGACTCACTCCCTTACCTCGGTCATGTCACCTTCTCAGCATGCCCTAAGTGACCACTCCCCGCTTCTCTCCCCCTTCCCTTTTTAATTTTTCCCCAAGGCATTTATCGCCTGATTTTACTACCTTATTGATTTGTTTGTTTGGCTTATCCTCAGTCACCCTCCCTGGAGTATAATCTACAAGAGAGTCTTGTTACTTTTGTGTCTCCAGCTCCTAGAGCAGTGCCCGGCACTTAATAGCTGCTCAATTTGTTGAATGGCAAATAAATGAATGCAATTTTTTTTAACCTAGAACTTTTCAAAGTAAGCTTTTTACCACTCTCTGAGAGAGTTTCATTAATGTACAAATGGAATGTTTGACTTCAAGCTGCTGAAGAAAATTGAGATTCTTCACTGGGTTTTAAAATTAATCTCTGAGAGTCACTTTTCATTTTACTTGAGAAAGACTTTTACATATAAATATACAATAATTTTTGCAAGGAAGCATGATTCTGTAACTTAGCCAAGCTACTAATTTTAAGTAAGTCTGTTTTGTCTCTCATGCTCGTTAATATAATTGGACATAGGTCAGTGATATCACAGTCAGGGGAGTAGATTTCTTGGTTGGTGTAGCAGTTTATAATTTTCAGTGATCAAACACAGCTTTCCACAACAAATATGCTAAAAACATAGTTTCCTAATAAATATTCATGGCCTCTTATAAGTCAACAGTCTTGAAACGATGAAAAGAAACCTTTTAATACTATAGAAAGCTCTTCATTCTTAGAAAATAGGATTAGGAAGAAATTTAACTTTGTGGATGTCATGCTAAAGAACATACAAATGTTCAACTGAATTTCATGGTCATGGGTATGTGCTTTTCTTCCTCCTCCATTAGTGAATGTTTAAGAATTAATTCAGTGTTCTGCTCGGTCGAAAGCAATGGTTTCAACAGTTTCTTAAAGTTTCTTTCAAGATTCCTGCTTAAAACAAAGCAAAACAAAATATGTGGCTTCTGTTTTAGCTTTAAATTCAATCAAGTGAACTTGCGGATATTTGATTTGGGGCTTTTAATAATTTTCTTTCATAAGCAGTATAGTTTCTTTGGGACTCATCAGATAAATTACATACAAAATGTATCCCCTAAATAATCAAAGAAATTTATCTACAATATGGACTCTCTGGATACAAACCAAGTGAATTTTAGAGGACGGGTGCCAAAAATAATGACATGCAGTAATTTATTATGATGCTGAGGCTTACTTTGGAATTGTGTGAGCTGGGCTTGCCAGCATTTACATTTCAAAGGCGGTCACAAATCTCCAGACAATAAAAGGGCTGCAGACACATTCCTGCAAATATCAGAAGTATACTCTGTTGTACATTTGTGCAAGGACAAGATTTTTCTCAGAAGACAGTTCTAGAAAAGGAGTTTCCTATTCAAAAGTCTGCCTTTCCAACAGTCCTTGATGCAGCTTCTCCCGGCATTCAAGTACAAAGTCTATGCAAACATACACATAAGGGAAAAACCTCACAAAATCGAGAAAAGTCAGAAAGGAAGCCAACTCTTGCTAAAATGCAGAGGGAATTTCCAGTTGCCACAAAGAGGGGTGAGAGACGATAAAAATAGAAGGCAGAAAATTTAGCTCTAACTCAAGAAGAAAAAGCCATCGCTTTTATTCCAACTGCCCTGATTTCTAAGATAGAATTGAAGAAAATGTTCTCAAACTCAAGAAGATTTGACTATGCAGATTACAAGGACTTGTCATATTCCCCTAACAAAACATATTCAATCAACAAGAGTAACACACCTGCATAAAATCTGGTAGTTTCGGCTGAGCTAAATGTCATGTTTGACTGTCCGTTCTCTCGGATGACTGCTGAGGTCAGGGGTCCATCCACCCCTGGTTTAGTCACTGTGGCAAGGAGCATCCTCCTATAGTGTGAAATATGATCTCACTGTGCAAGGGACAGTTTTTCTTAGAAAAAGAGCCTGTTGGGGGTTGGGGCAAGTTAGAAGAAAGGCATTAGAAGTGTTACTGCACGTAGAATGCAGCCATATAAAAACAATTTTGCATCGTGACCTCAGTGGATGTCCCTTCCAGAAATGGGAGGTTTGAGTCAGTACTAGGAAGTTTAAACATTCAATTCACATATTGATAGGTGAAAGATAAAAAAATGAACATTTTTTAAAATTATAATTTCATCTAAAATTATCTGTTTTTTAGAAATAGAAGCTAAAATGGCATTTGATAAAATTCGATAATCATTCAGCATACTACGTAGTGGCAAATTCTACAAACATCCCTTTGAGATCAAAATTCTTTCGAAAGAGCCACCAATATAACTCTGAGGGCTGGAGAAGGGAAGAAGTTGTTATCATTATTTGCAATCGATATGCACATTTTGGGGGTTTTGTTTTATTGGGGGTTTTGTTTTATAATGGCATTTACCAGATCAACTAAAAACTCTCTGACCTGTACTGAGAGCTCTGTGTGATGACCGGTAACATAACTCTAGCATTTTCTATGTCGGTAACCGTCACTAGCCAGTATGATGGATATTGCAAGAAAGAGATGGGAAAAATATCTTATTAACAGTAGCAACAAAGAAATCTAAATATGCAGGAATAAATTTATCAAGAAATGGACAAGAACTTTTATGAAACTTGATTGAGAGATGAAAAACAGAAGAATGAGCAACGCCGCTTTCTCCTTCAGGAGGAGGGAAGATGCTGTATTGTGCTTGGGTGGGGAGGGATGGGGGAGGGTCCTGCGCTAACACCGCCTGGAGAAGACTGGAAGGTCTCTCTCTAAGGTTCGGGGCAGGAGGTTGGGGCAGGGCGGAGAGGGAGGGCGGGCGTGCCCAGGAGAGGCTGTGGGCGTTGCTCTGGAATGGTAGAGATTTCAATACCCACCTGAGGTGTGGGGCTTGGAGAGAGCTAAGAAAGGTGCTTTTGTCTGTTTCGTTTTGATTTTTTAAGTAGTGAGTTTGGCTTAAGCCATTCTCCTTGGCCTCCTCTGCTCCCCTCTTCAGGAAAATCTGCAGTAACCATCTATCTACATTGCTTCACACAGGCTTTGAAGCCACAGCTGTGTTTCCTTTAGAGGTGTCACCACCCTCGAGCCAGTGAGGAGAGAGCAGGGAGGCTCTGTTTTATTTGGACTTTACAGCCATCTCAGAAGTGAAGCTTCCAATCAAATTCAGACCCCCCCTGGGTCTGAGTTATGCTCTTTCGCTAAGATAATCTTAATATAAACCAAAAAAGTAACTTCAACTGCAGTTCTTTTATTGTCCCGTGTACTTAGGTCATCTGCATGGCTGTAGATTAAGGCTAATTTATAGGGCGATTCAGTAAATTCAATGCTCTGGGAGGGTGGTCCGAGGAGGACATTTGATGATGTTTTTGTCACAAACCCTGTCTATGAATTTTAGCTGAGTGCAGTGACATCTAATGTAATGGCTGTGTAGCACAATATCTCTGTTTTAGCAAAATTGACATTTCCGTGTCAGGTCAGGAAACTTTTTTTTTTTTCCCCCTGCTTAAAATAAAGTAATCCTTTTCGTTTCTATTTTAGGAAGATGGAAAATGGTTGCAATAAATATGAATGAAGAACCATAAACATACGTGTTTGAAAATTAAACTTTTAAAGAAACACGTACGATTTCTTTGAAAGCTATGATTTTAATCAGCTCATGATATAAGCGATATCATTAAAAATAGTGTTGGTATCATTATCAAAAGAAGCGATGCTTTTGAACTTGGCGTTTCACAGCCAGAGCGCCTATTTTAGAGGACTGAAGGAACACGCACCGTCCGTTTGTGTTTTAGGCGACTTTCTCCTGTCACTGTGATGAGCCGTATGTCGGAACTTTCTGTGAAGAGTTCGATGCCTGCCAGAGAAAACCCTGCCAGAACAGCGCGAGCTGCGTGGATGCGAAGGAACAGCAAGATGGGAGCAATTTCACCTGCGTCTGCCTTGCAGGTACGGTCTTCATCGCTCACTGCTGTTATGTGTCGCTCTGTAGAACATGTGCTTCTTAACCAAGGACGGTCAAACGATTCTCTGTCCAGCTGTCGGACAAGGCGGCCACAAGATCCCATCGGTCTGTGCGCTGTGTGATGGGGGACGGAAAAAGGCAGTTCGCGTGGGGACACACATTCTGTCCCTTGGCTGGCTTTCCGACATTCCTGTTTTAGCATCCCGCCATTTGTGTTCTGGGACAGTGTTATTCTTGGTCAGATAGAGGCCTGGATGTTTTAAAAACGATTCTGCAAATGTGTACTGAGTGTGCGCTGGTGCCGTGCTGGGTGGTTATGCTAAAACACTTAAGAGAAATCTAGAAGAAACTACACAGGTTGTTATGTAAAGCGGCCTAACCTTCCTGCTTACGTTAATTTCCCTTTGTTTATGTTCGCCAGTCCCTGATGCACCGTGCGCCGCAGGGAGGCGAGTCTTTAATATTTCTTGATTAGTACGGGGATTTGGGGATATTACACGAGACTTTCAAACCCTCAGAGCACAGCGGGTCCCTCTTAGAGATTGCAGTGGACAGTGTGCTCACAGGCCTCTGTGCTCTGGCAATCATCTCAACTGACTTACTGCTAAGCTGACTCGATTCCTAACCTTCAAGGAGCAGTAATGGCATTTACCAGTGAACACGTCGATACAGCCGTTTTGACGTAGTGTAAAAGCAAACACCGGATTACTCCTTTTTTTTTTTATTATCAAATAATGTGACATCATCTTTCAAAACTGGCATCATCTTTTTTGTTTCCATCTCATCCTTTTGCCCACTTCTGCCCCTGGGTGTAGATTCAGGATGAGATAGCGTTTGGGGGTGGAGAGAGGGATGATGTGAAGTGAGGTTTGGGGGGATTGAAAACTCACTGTAAGAAACAGACTCCACCATGCAGAAGCTGATAAATGAAAAGATGAAAGTTCTTTACTCATCCGTCCCAACTCAAACGTTATCAAATCATAGGGGTAGGTTAATAGTGTAATATATTCTTTCTGGACCGGTTCCTGTGTATTTATGTGTGAGTGAGAGTACTTCTCTTGCAGATCATACGATTAAATATTTTTCTATGTGTTTTTAAAAAGCCGTTAGAGTACGCATATTGTTCTGGAACTTTCTTTTCTCCAGTAGATTGTAGATACCCTTCCATGTCAGTGCATCTGGATGGACCTCATTCATTTGAACAATTTCATAGTGTGTCTCCTAAATTTTATCTCCAGGTGAGACTCCCCTTCGAACCCATTTATGGAACCGCCTACCTGGCACCTTCCCCATAACCTTCGTTCTTCCTCACGTTCTAGAACAAACCCTAATCGGAGGTAGACGAGATTTGGCAAACGTGACCCTGGGACCTGGACTCTTTGCTGGCTAGTTCCTGCAGTTCTCTTGAACAGGTTTCCGGTTTGTCAGTTCCTATTTCCTGTAGAAACAACCCACCTTCCCCCTTCCGGCTCTACTGCGCAATAAACTTTTCGCTGTAGTCAACACACACACACACACACACACACACACACACACACACACACACACACGCACGTGTGCACGCGTACACACACACGTTTATTTAGAGTGTTTTTCACATGCCGGCGCTGGCTAAGTGCTTTCCACCGCATGCTCTTAGCCAGAATTCGGTCACTTAGTCCCTAGAGGCTCTCTGCCCAGGAAGAGGTGAACATTCTCATGGTCTATGCACGTGCTGATAACTGTTGCGGCTGGGATTTGAACCCGGGTCCTTCTGTCTGCCTCCAAAGGCCTGTTCTTGACCATCTTCTTATACTCTCTTCCTGTGTATGCAGCCACACTGTGTGCTGAGGACTTTCTTGGTACAAATAAGTGACTCGAGGCTTTCAGCTTTCTCATTTCAAACAGGTCTCTTCTTCAAAGAAGACATATTGGGCAATTTCATCCAAAAAAGACACCTGGTTGCTCAAAATGAGGAGTTTTATACTTAATTTCATCCCGAATGTCCTTGAAAAACTTATTTTTCATAGGAAAGCTACATTTCCTTTGTGAAGGAACATTTACAGGTGAATTAACATCAGCTCATTGTCCTCAAGCTCCAGATATACATATAACGACTTGCAAACAGTGGGAAGTGTGTTTTCCTTTCAAAAAATTTATCCTGCTGGGCTCCCATTACTGCAGGGTGGATCATGAGAAGTTACTTTGTTTGATGAATGAATGAATTCAAACCAGGTCCGTGTCCCCAGAGATCAAAAATCCCAACGACGCCTTTGCACAGAGACATTGTCTTCATACAATGCCCATTTCTCTCGAGAGGGGAGTATTGCTTGGTAAGTGAAGATACTATTTCCAGAAAAAAAGCTTCAGCTTCAGATTTTATAATATTTTGATATTTTGCTTTAATTTCTATGTAAAGTGCCAGTAGAAATAGAATTTTTTGAAGCCTGGGTAATCAAGAGATGTATTATTATGGCAGACTGGGTTTTGAGTGGGCTAAATAACACACTGTCTGCTTCAGTTTTTATTTTGATTTTTAATACAGTTTCTTGGAAGCGAGTGATGATTTTTGAATCGTAAAACACCGATAAACGTCATATACATCTGTATGTAATATAAAATGAATTATAGATTATGGCCAGTTAAATTTCCATTTTGGGGAAGAAGTTTTTATCAAGTCTGATATTTTTGAAACTTCCTTGCAGTATTTTCAAAAAAAGAAAGTGATCGTCAACAGTGCCATTGCTGCAGGACAGTCTGAGAGGGGGCATCGGCTTTGTCAGCAGGGTTTGTCCAGGCCCTTGGCAGCCTCCGTTTTCACCGCTGTGATAAGGGCACATCAGCTCTGAGGTGTCTCTGAGGGGACAGAAACAAGGAAGGGTGGCTGGAAGCTACCGAACACTCTGAAGGACGGCACCGTGTTTGGGAACAAGTCACTGCCACTTGGTTTTCATGGGGCCTGGAAGCTTCCTCGAGTGACACTGTTTGGACGAGTAGAACAGGCTATGGGCAGCCCGTGAGGATGCATGAACAGGAAATACAGACTGCTCCGAAGACTAGTTTAGTGGCAAAATGAACGTGAGAAAGAGAATCAGAAAGTTCTCTTATTTTTTAAAATGACAGCATATTGTTTCAAAGCACCGGGCTCTAGAGTCAAAATGCCCAGGTGACAATCGTAAATCCTGCATAATGAGGCCTTACATGTCGGCTATTTTCTGTCACCACAATGTCATGCTTCCTGGTTCACAGTGAGCTTCCTGCTCGTTGCCTAAGTTACATTGTGCCCTAAGTGCCAGAGGCTGGAAACTTGATACCATCTGCGCTGGAGCCTAGAACCCTGCCCGTCCCACCTGACCCAGCCTCTGCAGCCCGCAGTCTGAATTCTGCTTCCTTCCTTACCATTTCTAGCTGGGTTCTTTGGGCAAGTTACACGAACTCTCTGAGCCTGCTTCTTCCACTCTGCAAAGAGATTACAATAACCCTCACCATGGCTGCTTATGAGGACTCACTGAGAATGTAAGCGTGTGGTCTGTTCTGTGGACATGTTTCGCTAGTGCCTACCCCTGCTGCATAGAAGATGCTCGATAAAGACTTGCTGAATGAATGAATGAATGAATGAATAGAATGGGATGGAATTCTGTGCCAGGCAGTGGCTCAATTCCCTTTCCTCTCTTCTCTTTGTCCCTTCTCCTGGGCTTCTCCCTACATATCACACATTGTGGCTTTTTGCCTTCCACATCCGGCTGTGAGTGGCCTGAGGGCAGTGACTATCACTTTATATTACTCTTTATTTCTCTACTTCCTGTCAGTGCCAAGCCCTGTGCCTTGCACAACTGCAGACTCACAATGAATGATTAAGCTGAAAGTTAGCCTTTGAAACCGGGATTTGTTTTCTAAAACCTTCTCATTTTGGGGTGATAATTTTTCCCCAAAGGAGCTATTTCTTTTTCTGAAAAGAAAAGCTGTCATACATGTTCGGAGCCACCACTGCCAAAATATTATTAGCACCATACAAAACATTTTTCAACTTTGGAGTACCTCATTGGTCAACTAGATGGTGATTTGAGCCCATTTTAAAAAACTCATCATTTCCGAGGCGAGGGGACTGTGGTGGGTCCCAGCTTTACTGTTTTAAACTGTCCCAGCTTTACTGTTTTAAACTCCGAGCGTTGCTCAGGTGGCCTCAAGGTGCCTTGGAGTTGTGAGTTAGAAATGGGTCACCTCCTCCCGGAGACGAATCCTGAGTAGCTTTGCTGGTCCGCACACCCCGCCTCACTTGGCCCAGGAAGTGAGCACATCAGCAGATCACGCATGCGGCTTGGGAAAAGCGGGTTAGACTTAACTCAGAACTCACCCCTGTGCGTGGAGCGTGGGAAGCAGTGGCCACTCCCGAGGCTGGGGGTCTCGACCGAAGTCACGAAGAAACAGGAATTCTGGCCACTTCACTCCGTCCGTGTTTGGGTCGGAGTATGTTTTACCAACGTGTGCGTGGTTAGTGCATTTCCCATTAGTTGGGCCCAGGACAGAAGGGCTGGGCATCCCTGACGGGCTATCGGTGTATTTATTGCCCGCGATGCCGCTCACCTCTTCTCCGGACCAGAGAAGGCAGCATTTGGGGAGTGGGGGCATAAGACAAAAAAGGGGGACAAGGCCGGCTGGGCTTTCAATGCAGCCTCTTCTACTTACTGGTTAGGTGACCTCACGTGAGCCTCCTAGCCTTTCTGTCCCTGGGTTTCCTCATCTTTGGTTGTTGCGAGCATCGTCCATTCGTTCATCAGTTATTCAGTGAATATCGGTTATGTGCCGGGCACTTTCTAGGTGCTGGGAATACAGCTACGGAAGAGCCACGCCCCTGGGCACAGGGGGGTCGTGCTTTAGTGAGGGGGGGAACCAACAACGTGCACCTGTGTGTTCTGTGGTGCGTGCGCGTGTGTGCGCGTGTGTGCGTGTTCGCGTGTACGTGGACAGCACGCGGGTGTGTGTCTCGTCAAAGGAGAGGGTCAGG